GAGTTTAATATATCCGCCTTAAAATTCCTCCTCGTCATACTTTGTACGCTTCCACACGATCCCCCCTCCCCACCTCCTCCCGAGATACTTCATAAGCACATGTTATTTCATTACATTCTTGGCACTGACGTGGCTCCATCGTGCTAAACCACACGTGAATACCCAAGTTACATCGTAACTTACAACCAAGTAGGATTCTAGCTAACAGTTTCTTGTAATAACACAGGGAAACAACGGGATTCGAAAAAGTTGAATTTACTTGACGAACGTCGTCGAAAGTCGACGATTGACGAAAGTCGTCCGTAATAAAATCTCAATATTTGATGTCAATTAAAAGCATTACTCGCGCGTTTTCTTAGCAAACGAACTTCTCCAGTGTTGAAATTATCATTCCATCGTACACTTAATTATTTTATTATTATTAATTATTAATCAACCTTAATCACTAACCAATCTTCTCTAATTTTCGAGCAAATACAGTTAACTATTCGCAAGACTATCGAGCAGAGAAGTACGCATCCATCAATGCGTTTATCTTCTCGCATTTCAAAAGTACATATCAGGCCAAGTGAATGAAATAAAACTCGATTGAATCAACTTCTCAATCTACGAGGCGCTTGTATCTTATCTTAACCGTACCGCGAAATCACCGTACACGAATCCTGTCTGAGGACGTACTATCCTCCTCAAGTAAGTAACGTCCACGTCGTCGACGAAACTCCGAGGTGGGTTATCGCGCGCCAATATTCGCGGATGGAAAGTTCACCAAGTTCTTGTCTCAACCGAGAGAGACACTCGTTGAAATAATTCCGAGACGTTTAATGCACGTCACGTGTCGCTCGACGACACAGTCGGCGCAAACTTCCGGTGGCTCGTTAATACTGGTGGAAAAGCGTCCTCGGCCGCGAAACGACGACCACCACTACCGCCGGCCGCGAGGATAAAGGATCTTCGTGCGGATGTGTAGAAAAGTCGCCGCGGTAATTAATGCATCGGCGTCGAAACTACAAACGGACGTTCCAGTGAATAATTATGCCAGACTAGAACGATTAGTCGGCTGGTTGACGGAGAAATTGCTCGGACGAATTGCGATACACCGGGGTTATTGTTTCGCGGATTCAGGGATATTCCCGTCTGGCGGGAAAATCGCGGTACATTATGGGTCAGATTAACTGGGACGCATCGGAAGTGCGGTGGATGATGTTTAGCGATACGATCTGTAATCGTTCGCACCGCGGACGAGGAGATTTTATTAGAAGCGATCTCTCCAGATAATAAAAAGGAATAAACAGAAATATATTTCATTCGAGGTAGAGATTAACTGAACTGACGAGAAATAACTCGGCGGGTAATATCGAACGATAATTGTTAATCGTTCCTGCAAGTGATGTATGATCGTATTAAGTGATTCAAACAATAAGGGAGGGAGGGGGTGGGGGAGAAACAAAGGACGAAGTAAAATGCATTTATCATGGAGATTAATTGAATTGGGAACACTCTAAATACGAAGCAATAATTGTTAATCGTCTTCGTAATGGAATTCGTTAGATTCGACTCTGACAATGAGAAAGAAAAATCTGCGAGGATTGAATGAATTGTTTTTGTTGCGGGCAATTACGAGCGTGTAAAGGTAATCGATGAATAGTAGTTCAAAGCGTGGTTTCACCGGCGTGAATTAATTACCGGCGCGTTCAACGTCGGAGACTCCCCTCCCCGACGTTTAAGTGCTCAGCAATTCTCCGATTATTTTCCAGTACTTAAGTTGGACTCCGGGCAAACCTTCTAAAGCATGATGGCCCCGTCTTACTTTCTATTTACACGCGAGCCCCACGGAACGACCGGGTAATTTTTCCAGGTTCGCACCGCCGCTATCTGTTTTTATTTCGATGTCCCTCTTTCGTAATTATTCATAACTCTCTGGACAATGTTCCGTTTCACTGTCTCGCGTAGATAATAATTACGCAGCCGTTAAAATTTCCCCTGCTCTGTCTATTTTTTCAGCGGGCTGCCGTTATTTTCCCCGTGCAATTAACATTTCCAACACTACAGAGGCGTGTCCACCACCGGACAGACGTTCTCCATCGTTGAACGTTAAATATTTTTTTGAAGGGAAATTCAATTACGGTTGCAACAGCGAAACGTTTGCAATGTGTGTGGTGGGCAAATTTCTGGAAAAGAATTTATCACCGACTATGAAAAACATATCGTGTTTAATACAGGGAAATTGGTTTACATTATGTAACTGTATGTAGCCGTATGATGTAAATGTATACATAAGAATATATATATTGTATACTATCGAGTTTACTAGCTTTCGAGTATACTCTCGAGTGCTTTTCATTACTGGAGTGACGTTTTATTTCTGAGGCGGTTGTCAATTAACGAAACAATTATTATTAACGCGTGGCTAAAGAAATTGTGGTGGGTCAGGTACGTAGAATACGCGATAAGTCCCGTAATAAACGCGAGCCGGCCAGATTTTCCTTTTTCTTCGCTATTCGTCGCTAAATCTGCGTTAAGTTATTATGATCCTGTGGCGGGACGGCGTTTATGACGGCTATGTTTGCCTCTATGTCGCCGCGATAAAAGCACGCAACATCGATCCCCTCCGCGACTTTCTTCTCTCTCTCTCTCTCTCTTCGTCCGCGCCGCTTTCTTCGAAAATAGAACGAACTCCGTACAAGGGAAAAATAGGAAGGGAAAAAAGAAGAAGAAGAAGGAAGGAACTAATTCAATATCCGGTCGCGATCATAAAGAGGAAAGCTATGGTCGCAAACGGTTCTATAAACGAAATAGACCTCGGCTTGCCGCGGCATTCGCGCAATAAAAACCGCCGCCACTTGGCGAATTACACCTTACCCACGTCGCAGCGTGGCTGCAAAAACGAAAAAAATGCCGATGGAGAAGACGTGGAAGTTGGCAGAGGATGGTGTGAGGTGACAGCGGCCGAGCGTGGTAGAAATTTCCACGACCCCTTATCAGCTCCGAAGGGAAATAAAAGCGAGACTCGCGACGCTTTGCAGCTAGACCTCTCTCTCTCGTCGGCGTGGCCCCGGTGTTAAAGTTCATAACTCAGGCTGATTACCGGCTCGTGGGCCCGAGGATGTTACCGAAATTAGCTAGCAGGACCGCGCAACGAATCCTCCAATTTTCGCACGGACCACCGGTGCCGTGCCTCCAGCGAACTTACCCCCGAACGAATACGGGGGCGTATATACGCCGACATGGCTGTCCCGATGGCTAATTGGTGGCTCTGTTACGCCATATATTTATGGGGGACAGGCGAACGACCTCCGGAAACAGGAACGAGAGTCGGTGTACGTATTGGTCCGGGACTAAAGTGGTAGGAGAAGTTTCGTTGCTGCCCTATTGATCTGGGTGAGACAGAGGCTGACTGGAAAGAGGGAAGGAGAAAGAGAGGGAGGTAGAGAGTGAGAAGGAGAAAGGGTAGCATTTCATTTAAGCCATCCGTGGATTCCTGTACAGCGCCAGTAACGCCGTCCACCTATACACGTGCACGGTCACGCATACATCGGCGAATTAGTAACGCGAATTAGAATATGCTAGCGATAAATTTGCGCAAACGAACGCATGCGATGTTGACGCATTATCGGCTAATCGTGCACGCGCCCATTCAATTGCGTTCGTTCCGTTTTGATGAATGGTTTACGACGATGGCTAAAGGTACGACGATGAAGCAATTCTTCGAGGCTGGAGAAAATTTTTTCTTCCGCTTTCCAGGATGTGGGTCAGAGTTACAATAAAGTGGAGTGTTCTCTCTGGAAAGCGTCTCAGATGCGGCGAACAGCTAATTCAGATATTTATCGCCGGAGGATCCAGGATACGGTTCTGCGTGACGCTTAAGGGTAGTTGCGCGCCAAGTTAAACGGACAAGTGGTACGAAGAGAGACTGAGAGAGAAAGAGAGAGAAGAAAAAAAAGGAGAAAGTTTCGTAGAATTTCATTAACGACTGCAAAGGGGTGGAACATTTACCGGCTG